TGAGGAAAACAATGACTGTACACGTGCGGTATAAATCTTTGTACATTTCACTTGAGATGACAGAGTTTTGCCTATTTTAGTGAACGTGAGCTTCCACGGCTAATTTTTCGCATTTTCTTTTGAAAATGATCACTGGCGTTACATATCGAGTTTGGGTGGGTTTTGAGACCAATCGGCGACTGAACAGATCTAAATAATAAAGATTTTCAATGAATAAATATATATCTGTTTTTACGAGGCCTCGTTGTTGGCGTCGACGTAGTCATTATCTTAGCTCAATAGTATCTGAAAAGATACGTTGATTATATAACAGAAGCATTTACTGGTAACATCTCCCTACCTGAACGACACCCATACAACTCCATTCTTAGTGACATCCACTCGTGATACGATACCGGTTGAACTCGGATGTAGCGGGTATAGATTGGTGGATCCAGTATGTTGATATCAATGCTCCTTCGGTCCTTGTTACCTTGAAAGACCTAAAGCGGACGACCACGATCAGGGTGCCCGATTTCAAGGAGATCGAAATAACTGGACAATGTGATATTGAGAGTCTATCTAACAAATGCCAAATAAAACAACGTTTGTGGATTTAGCCACATTGTAAGGCGCTTGAGATCGAATCGAGCGTTCCGGGTTCTTGCAATGGGCTGGATAATTGCGATGTGTTCTTCAACAGTATCTCTTCGCCCAAGTGTACTATAAATGGATACCGGTGAACTTAACGCTAAGATGAGGTGGGATATCTCTTCGAAGGACTAGCATTTCATCCGCTGGAGGAGAAGAAGTACTCCTAGTCTCTACTTGGGATAAAAGCCGGCCTTTATGTAGAACTTGGCCTAACGTAAACCTTCTTTTTCTTCAGTTAATATGATAGTTTAATCTCCAAAGGATTAAACGAAAACAAACAAACAAACGAACGAAAAATTGAATTACTGTATGACTTTAACTTTAGTATTTTGGTTTCAACTTACCTTGTCAGAGCCATATTGACCGTTCTTGTAAAACTCAAAATAACCGCCATCATAGCTATAAGACACCTTGTATTCAGTTACCCACTCATTTAATTCTGCCCAGCCCTGAGTTGCAATCTTGGTCACCTTTGCGATGTCACCAAGATCCACCTGAATCCATTGTCCTTGTTCCTGGTGGTAAAAAGTTGACCATGCGCTTGTTTTGCCGTTCCCTGGCCTGTGATTAAGCCTAGCATTGGTAGCTCCCTGAGCCACACTATACTGCAAATACAAGATGTTGATTCATAAATTTATTGTTTGATTACTTTTGTTCCCTTATTAAGGGAATTGAGCTACCTCGCACTGAAACTCTTTACTTTGAAGAGCACCATATGAATGTACCTCTCAGCATCGGTAACCCTGGTTTTCTTTCTTAAGTCTGAGTGTTCTTTTATATGTATATTTTGTTTTTTGCTCTACCTTAAGGTGGCTCAAAATAATTTCCAGCACTCTAGATTTGGATGGGTGGTTCTAAGCCCTACCTACAGAATTTTTTTAAACTTTGCCAAAAGTTGCGTCTTATATTATCAAGCTTATCAAAAGTTGATAAAATAAAAAAAATAAATTTACCTGGCCGTTTTCGAATTATAAGTTTTTAGTTTGTAATACAGTTGCTATGGTAACCTATTGTGTAACGAAAATGATAACAATGTGTTCACCAATGATTGGGCAGTTTTTTGATACCATGATTGCAGCATCAACTGATAAAGAGTGGTTATAACGATCTATCAAAATCTAAGTGTTGGAAACTGTTTTGAGCCGCCTTAACCTAAAGTGTAATTTGTAAATTCTTCCTTCATCTCTTCTATTCAACGTTTAGACATTATTAGGCTGGAGGCTAACTTGAAAACCTAACGGTTCATTAAG